TCATCTGGTTTGGTCTGCCGGCTTCCGTAGCGTCACGAAAATGAAGGCTAATCATGTTTTGGGTGTACTATTCCTTTAATGTTCTTGATGCTCTGCCACGACTTCTCAGAGTTTGAGGAGAGCATGCGCGATATTGTTGCTAAAATTCATAGGAGCAAAACATGTGGAACTGAATGTTTGATTTAATATGACGCATTAAAAATTTCCCCAGCAGCATCAAGCATATGCGCAGTTTCTGCCCAAATATTTCCTTGTATGTTGTGGATAATAGGATAATACAAAATAATTTTTTTATGAACTGTTTGTTCTCTACCTCCAAACTCAGCACCTCTTCATCCAGTTTCTTTTGACTGGATGTGATTAAACTTATAAGCTCTCGGTATAAAATAAACATTTTGATGGGAAATGAGAAATCTGCTTCCTGGTATGTTGAAGAACCAATAGTTTGTATCCAATTATTCAATTAAACGTTCTTGGTTTTGGGTAATATATAAGAATTATGCTATCTAATTTGTAGTTACCAATCCATCATTACTTTATTTTAATTTGACAAACAGCATCTTCTCCACGTTCTTTTTCCTGTTTGGTGCGATTGCAATTGCGGATCTTGACCTGACCGGACCGGAGCGGCGCAAAAAATAGTTCCGCTCCGTATTTTGACGGTGATGGACGGAGAGGAAGTACGTGGGCGGTTACTTGCAGAAGAGTAGCGGTGGATGTGGAACAGTTCTCATTAGTTAACAAGACAGACAAATATTCCGCACGACGTACGTGAGGAGGGCGGGGACAGGGCGGAGCGCTGATGGGAGTATGTGGAATCTGGTGGTTAGTCTCCTACGGTCCAGCTAAAGATGCTTCCTTTATTCAAAGTGGACTTTTGGAAAGTTTAGTGAAAGGAAAAAGTCACATAGGTTCTTTCTTTTTCCTCTTTTTAAAAACATAGTTCAATTTAGAAAGAATATAGAAGATAATCACTTGGGAAGTATTAACAGAAAGTTTAGTGGAAGGAAAAAATGTGATTAAAAATATGATGGAGCTACAAGGATCTCTGCAGCCTTTAGAAAGATGCTTTGGACACACAGACGTATCCAGGACAGGGATTTATCTGTCCCATTTCCTGGTGTTAAAGCAGCCGGAAAAAACATCAGTTCTGGACCAGATGTTTTCTGGTCCAAAGTCCACCTCTCAGAGAAGAGTAGATGATTTGATCTGATTCTAAGCATCATTTTTTAAAGTTGAGTGTAAGGGAAAATATATTATGGGAACATTTCAGAGGCAGCATAGATGACTGCATGGATGCACACCAGTGAACACTTCCTTTTGTCACCATGGTAACACCAGATTAAGACATCAGAACCCATAATGTAGATTATCCAAAGACTGTTTAAAGCAAACTGGGCTTCCAGAACCTGTCAGCAGAACCAAAGGCTGTTCTTCTCCATTCCACGCCGCGTTGATGCTGCAATTCCTGCAAAACAAACCCAGAAAACAGGAGTTCAGATCCAGAACAAAGAAATCTAAAAACATTGTATATTTGAGAAAATTCATGAAAAGTTCGTGTTTTTTTTCTCCATATCTTATAAATAAACACAATTTATGTTTTAATTTCACTCAGACTTAAGCTTTTAAGCCTTTATTTTTTGTTAATTATGAGGATTTTTTTGCTTTAATCATCGAATAAAACATTTGAATATAGAAATGTGATCTTGGAGAAAAACCTAAAGGTTGCTTAAAGTTTGTTGTTACCTAAAAGTCTTATTATCAAAGACACGACTTCCATCAGAACTAGGTTCTTATTTGCTATGACTGTTAATAAACTATTCAATGATGTTCAAAGTTAAAGCCAGACTGGTTCAGCTTTAGGAAACTTCTCTGCTTCTTTTCCAAGTTATGACTGTTTCTGCGTCAGCGGAGCTCCTGCTGATGTTCCAGCATTTTCCTTTCCCTTCCTGAATTCATTTTTCAAGCTTTCTGGAGGAGGCGTGTGGGCAGCCATGCTGAACTCCTGCTGACTAACTGCTGCAAGGTGAAAACAGAGGGAAGCTGTTATCTTCCGCAGCAGGACGGGAGGTCGCGTTATCAGCCGCCGCAGAGCCAAGCTGAACGCAGATAATTCATATAATTTTCACATCGGCGCTGTGAGCAGAGCAGAAGGGCCGCTAGTTTCTGAGATCATTTACATGTTTGGCTCTCAAACAAATGATGAGGAGTGAAGGGTGAGGGGGTGCGAGTTTAACACATCCGTCTCTGCGCTCAGTGGCACAAAATGCTACAGGAATCCAAACGTCCCCGTCACCTTTCTGAATAGGAGAAGAATGCGACACGGAAAAGGAAATGCCGAACATGCTCATTCCATGTCTGAAAACGCAACAAAGTTTCGCACTGATTCTGCTAAGATAAAAGGCATAAGAAAAAATAAATACAACAAACAAACAATTTATAATATACTAAAGTTCCTTTAGCTATAAAAGTTATAAAAATAATAGCTTTTTAAATTTTGTTAGTACACATTGTAAACAAAAAGGCTATGATTTTAATATTCGACATAACTTCTTTCGATGTTTCGATTCCTAATTTTTCTGTGTGAATTTTCATTTTCGTTGCATCCCTAATTCACACTATATCCGTCTGAGATTCAGCTGGGTTAGATCATCAGAGACAGCATGACAGGTGGTTTAGGGTCTTTCTGTGTAAAGCTCGGCCATCACACCATCATGCTGTGGGGTTGTTTTTCTCTCGGCAGGAACTGGGAAATAGGAGGGGCCTCCTGTAGGATGAGGGTCCAGCTGGTTTTGTAATGTTTAGTTGGAGCTAGCTCTGTCAGATAGGCCTTAAAAATCCTTTTTTTTTTTTTTACCAAATTTGATTAATCATATTTTTCTGCCTTTGTTTACATGACAAAAAAAAGACAGCAGTCATTTTTTTAAAAAAAACTTGCTTTTCATTCAGACTTCCTTCCTTTCTTGGAGTTGACCTGAAGTCAGAACGCCGCTAAAGCCAAGCTGATTTCATATAAACAGTTTATTCAGGGTTCCCGTGGGTCCTTAAAAAGTCTTAAAAGGCATTGAATTCTTCAAAATAAAACTAAGGCCTTAATTGGTATTAAAATGTCCTGAATTAGTCTTTCATAGGTCTTAATTTTTAAAACATCATAAATAGGAATATTTTTTTTACGATTTATTTTTATAATCTAAATAAAATGTTAAAATTGACAATAAAAAAAAAATTATAAATAAAATAACGGCTTGCCATTATTGGTTCCGTCCCGGTAGCGGAACCAATAAAAGCGTTGTTGCGGCCGGGACATTTGGGAGATGCGCCATTATCTTTTTATCTGGAAAATCTGAGCAAGTGTAAATGTACCCAAAAT